GTCCGTCCGTCCGTCTGTCCGTATGTTTGAACGCGTCGATTTCAGAAGATATAAGGGTGGACTCACAGTATAAAAATTAAAAGTTTCTAGCTCTTACACACAAACATTTTAACAAAGTCAATATAACCTGATTTCCAATTTTATATTTATATATACATATGTCGGAGATGGCTCAGAGTTATTCTTCTCCATTATAAATTTGTATTATAGCAGCGATATTCTTTTACTTCGAACGCAGCGAGTCGCGATTGTCTCAGACTGAAAAAACACGTCTGCACAGCACCTACGCTCGTGCCACAGTTCCCTTTTTCACATCCCAACAATAATCGCGCCACACTCGGCTGAAGCATCTCTCTCTTCTCTTTTGTCATTTGCTTCTTGCATTGTCTATAGCAGCGACACAGTCTCGCCACTATGAAGTTTTACTTCGTAAAGAAGCTTCGCAACATTGTGTCAGACTGATTGTCGCGGCAGCGCACCAATACATTGCTACGTCATCAATATTTCACTTTTATGTTATCATAACATGCTCTTGTCATGTTTAATTCCCATGTTAAGTACATAAATCTCTTACATATATATTTAAGTTAAACTTTCAAGTTATTATCGGAAGTAACGTAATGAACATAACATTAAAAGCAATACATATTATTAATTTACTTAATACTTAATACAATTAAAATGATTACCATTCTTAGTATTTCATCATCGTTGCTTTGGTTTTCGTTACCATGCTTATTGGCGGCGTTTTAGGCTACGTCTTTCGTGAAAGGGTGCAGCAAACTATGCGTCAGGTAAAATCCATAATATGAGATATAGAAAAGTGTATAGCTTTTGTTTTATTAGGAAATGCGTTCTACAATGGCTTTGTATGGTAGTCGACGAGAAATTACACAGGCCTGGGATTTAACACAAGAACGATTACAATGCTGCGGCGTGGATACTTGGCACGATTGGAATCGATATGGACTTGTGCCAGAATCATGCTGTCAAGAACTGTTTGGAGGGCAACGCAAAGAATGCGCTCTCTTTCCCAATATTACGAATTTGTATAATCAAGGCTGTTTATATGTGGCTACAAATTTCATACGAGATCATGCGGCTGTTATTGGAGGCACATCTATAGCCGTGGCTATACTTATGGTAGGTACTTTAGCTATATAAATTCCTATGCTAACTTTTTTTACTATTTACATTAACTTACAGATCTTTGGTATGATTTTCTCTTGTTTGTTATTCAATATGATTGAATAACATCTTTTTGGACATTGCCTCGATCATGGGAATACCTGTTTATTAAATAATGTTAAACATAAAGTATTATCCAAGTGTATGATATGTAAGATTTGTTATGCAAAAGCTATAGCTTTTGTAAAATTTATATATGCTTATGAACATAATTAATTATATACCTTCATAAATGCATAGTGGTTTGTCAATCTGTAATTTGTTGTTATATAGTACCTCTTTAAATTGTATACCCTAAACCACTGGAAAATTGGAAAATCAGGGTATAATAGTTTAGTTGAAGGAAAGTGGTAGTGACAAAAAAGTATATATATTCTTGATCAGGGCGACGAGCTGAGTTGATTTAGTCCTGTCCGTCTGTCGGGTCGATAAAAATATATGTAAATTACTGTATATTGTTGAAGCTGCCGAGCTTTTTTAGCAACGGTGGCTCAAATCATTTGCGAAGGCACAAATTAAAGCCAATACGATTTAATTTAGACTTTTATTCATTAATTTAATGCCGAGTCTGTGGTAGCTGTTTAGGCAAAGTTATTTCGATGCGAGAG